CCTTCCGCGGCCGGGTGGGGCCTTCCGGGTGGCCCCGGGCTGCTTTCGGAATAAATAAGGCTGCGGCCGCGGCGGGGGTCGCGGAGGCCCGGCGCAGCATCCTGGCGTTGCGGCGCCCGAGTGCCCCGGCCCGCTGCCCGCGCTGGGTGGGAACGCGCCGACGGTGCCGGAGGCCTGCAGGAGGAAGCGACCCCGAGAACCAGTCTCGAGAGCGGCACTGCGGGGCGTGACTCCTGGGCGCACCGGGTTCGGCGGGGGTCACTGCCTTCGCCCCGGTTCTCGTGTACCAAGCGCTCTTCTCGGATTCCATTTCCAGATTGTTCTAGGCCGCTGTAGGGTTAAATTCACTACTCCGGGGACCGGGGGTTCTTCCGGTGGTGCGGAAGTGGAGGGTTGTAAGGTTGGGCTCCGGGCTCGAAGGATAGCCAATGATTTGCCAGGCCGGCCACCCTGTGGAATCACGAGGGGAGGTCGCTAAAAATCCAGGGGGCCGTGCTGCACCCTAGAGGAGCTAAACCAGAATCACTGGGGCTGAAGCCCTGTTAGGGCTAGGAGAGCCTTCCACTGAAGTGCGAACCGACCTGAGAACCCCGGCTCTGTACTGTGCCGGCCAAAGTGAAGATCTAGCCAGCTGGGCAGTCCCCCGGTCCTACCAAAAACACTGAGAGACGCTGGCGGAAAGTAGGTTACTCGTCTTCACGGGAACAAACCCAAGAATGTTTTTCCCTTCAACAGTCCTCCATGGTCTGGCTAGTAAGATCCTAGGTTTTCTGGTCGCTGAAATGCTCGTGCGGTCAACAGCCTCAATCCCTCACTTGGAGTTGCGCCTTCTTCAGTGTACCAGCCAGCGGGTATTTGTGACATCCATTGCGATATTCCTTCCTGCATTATCTCTGACAAACACATTTTTTTATTGGTTACTAGGAACTTGAAGAAAAGGAAACAGTCTTCAACAACGGTATTTTCTCTGACTCACGTTTAGCCAAACCCTGTGCTGCCTAAGACAGGGCTCCTCCTCACAGGCTTCTAGAGAAGAATTCTTTAGGCTGCTGCAGGAGCCTACTTAGACATTCTAGAGTGTACAAGTCCAGGGAGCAGAGGGCTTGAAAAACCATCCAGCGGGACTCTATTTGGTATTAAAATATCTTACTATTGCTGTCATGTTAGATATATCAGGGCCCAGCTGTGTTTTCCAAGCGGTGCTAGTTTTTTGTTTATTCCCCTTTGAGCCTCTTTTACCTTAACCAGCACTCCCTTTTTCTGTGTCGTTTTAGACAGGCCCTTGGTGTCTCTCTGTACTCAGAACTGATGTGAAAAGCAAGGTGCTATCATGAAAAATGCTGGAATTAAGAACAGGTAGGGAGCTGGCCGAGGCCGAGGTCGACACCACACTGAGTCCCCACAGAGTGGAATGCACTGGGCGTCTTACCCAGATAAGCGGCGAGCTCAGCAAAGTGTTACTCAGCTTAGCTACACTGGGTGGTGTAAGAATGCACCTTTCAAAATATTAAATTTTTGATATATATACATATGTATTTAAAGAACTTGTGGAAAAAATAACAGGGTGTGCTCTTTAAGTAATAAACTGTCCAAATAATTACAATGTTCTGAGGGAAAAGAAAAAAAAATCCATACTGCATTTACTCAGTTTAGAAAGGAAATCTATGCTAAAACCCAAAGGCTATTACAAAAAATCAAATCTGCAAATTTATAATATTTTATTTTAGATAGTGGCCTCCGCGTACTGGGCTCTGATCCCATCATACACGTTCCAGGTCACTAATACAGCCCCACGATCACCAGAGGCCTGCTCACATTTTGAAGATGAGGAAACAGCCTGACTTTTTTTCCCTAACCAACATAGGTGAAGTTAACGAATGACCAGACCAGAGTCCCAACAACCTAGCTTGATCCTGAAGCTTCGCTGTCTTCCCCTATGGCACTATATTGTTTGTGTTTGCATCAGTCAGCAAAGATTTCTTCTATGTGGAGGACAATGAAGTGGCATTAGGTGGCATGTGGGGACTTGGGAACCTGGCGCTTGTGATGTAAGCAGAAGCTCCCTGTCTTCCTGAGATACTGAAACCCAGTGCAGTAGTAAATACCCAAGAAGACCCCTCCACCCACCAGTGTCTTATAGTCACATTGATTTAAAATCCCTGTAGAGCTATTCGATTCCAAAATAAACAATGGAACAAGGTAAAATAGGAAGTATGGTCTGTGATTTTGGTGGAGCTAGAGAACATATCTCCCAACCTCACCCCAAACGACTGAATCAAAGACTGTTTAATCAACCAGGAAGCCCAGGGAAAGTGGCAATATTTATTTATGTTCAGGGATCCATAACCTAGTAGGGAGGTTTTCTGTGAGAAACACTGAAAGTGCCACAGCGAAAGGGGTGGGGGCGCAGGGAGGAGAGTGGCCTGCTGGCTGGCAGGGCTGTGTGACAGATGTGTCAGGGGATAAGGCAAAGAGCACAGGAGAGAGAGATAAGGGCGGTCTGAGTAAAGGCCGCCATGGAGGAGAAGCCAGGCGCTTCTAGGGGAAGAAAGGGATTTGGCTGAGGGGGAGAGAGGAAACCTTGACTTGGAGTGGGAAAGAAGAGAACAAGACTCAGGAAGGAGGCTTGAGAGAGCCACAAATAGAAGCTCGCTGCCAAGTTCTGCACACAGTGAGGGCGTGAGCACAACAGTGGAAGACAAGACCTGGTTTACCTGACTATACAATATCGAGGTGGTTAAGATTAGGAAGTAGACCCAGCTCTAATTTTAGTGGATATATTTATATATACGTTGAAACCATGGCCTTTGTGCTGAGCCATCCTAGGCCACTTAGTTTTGAGTTTTTGAGACAGGGTCTCACTGTGTAATCCAGGTTGACCTTGAACTCACTATGTAGCCCAGGCTGGCTGCGAACTCATGGTGCTGCCTCAGCCTCCCGAGTGCTGGGATCATAGGTGTGCACCACCCCATGCCCATCCATGACACTGTTTTAGTTTTAATGAGTCTTGCTAATTTGCTAAATTGCCCAGGCTGAGCCTAAACTTTCACTCCTCCTGCCCTACCCTTCCAGAGTGCAAGATTGCAAATGGCCATTATCTGACTAATTTAAATTTTAAAATAGGTGTTCAGGTGGGAGTATAGCTCGTTGGCTACAATGTGCAAGGCCCTGGGTTTGATCCCCAGCACTGCTGAACAAAGGGGAGCAGTTCTATTATTCTTAAACACAAATGAAACTCTGACACAGTTATCATGGATCTTTGGATTTTCATTATTGTCTTGAACAAAAAAGTTTCAAAGAACTACCTTAGATAAGAAACATTTGGTGACAGATAGGAACGAAAAACAAACTTCAAATCGCTCAGAAATCCAAAGTCCACGAGATGAAGGTTCTCTTTGAAGGAACTGTCCCTTCCCAAGTTGGAAGGTCATTTTGGGGAGAAATAACACATTTGGCTTCATACTGTTTGAGAGCACAAAGACTCAGAAGCTTCTCTGTGGAGATGCATAGAAAAGTAAGATCTTGCATAACTGTGGGCAGTGGAAGTGCTTGAAGGAGAGGAGAGGTAACCAAAGAGAGAGAAGCCTGGGGGGAACCCTGGGGAAATACCACATTTGGTTGTATGAAGGGTGAAGGAAAGAAGACAACCAAAAGAGAAGAGGTTTAATGCACCTTCCTGGAAGATAAGGATACTAAGCTGTGAGCCAAATACCTTCCTCATCATTGATGAGGCTGCTGGGGTTTAAGGCAGTTACCGAGCACCAAACCACAGGTTCTGGAAGCCAAGCTGGGGCTTGGAGGCCTCAGGTCTGTGGGGCTGCCCTGCCCCTCTGTTCCAGGAAGTCTCCCTGCTGCTATCACCAATGCCTTCTTCCCTGTGAGCAACACATGCTGTCTGCCAGCTCCTCGGCTTTCAGCAATCATCTGTTTCATATCTGCATTTGTAACTCAGCCTGTCATTATTCCTACCTGTCTTAAAATGGAAAAGAAAACACAGAAACTTTGTATTGAGGTATTTGTATCCTGTACCTGCAAATAGGCAGGCAGTTGCGCTGTGCAAAGTAAGTGTACTTTTAAAAAATAAAACACACGAACAGGCCCTGTTTCTTATTAAAGAGCTTTTATTTACCAGGAGCTCAACTAGTCAGCTATCACTGTATAACAGTAGATTGCTTGCTCATTAGGCACAGGTTTAGCTATTTAGAATAAGTGGTGGAGTACCGCATCTCCCCTGTCAGAATGGCACCTCCCTTACCCTCAGCTGGCTTCCCTGGTGCTCCCTAGCTGGGTGAAAATAGGATACAGAGTTCTGGGGAGCAGACATCTCTTTGCCAAGCTCTGATTTTCTGAGACTACAAAGGTCTACAGGGTTTCACTATGTAGATTGGACTCGTAGTGATCCTCCTGCTTTCATCCTCCCAAGAGCTGGGATTATAGGCATGCACCACCACACCCAGTCTCAATTGCCATCCCAGCTTGCCCTGGGGGTGGGGCTGGCACAGCGTGCCAGGGATCAAACCCTGGCTGCTGTGCTCTGCCTAAGCAGGCACTTCAGTCTGCTGAGCTATCTGGCTGGCCCCAGACTACACTGAATTTTGCAGCCAAAGTAGAGTAAGAGGAAGGAATAAGAAAGTAGGATGTGTGTGTGTGTGTGTGTGTGTGTGTGTGTAGGCAAAGCAGCCAGGGACTGAGCAGGCAGGTATAGGATTCAGGCAGACCTCGGATCCATACCAATACCGTTGCTTCCTCGCCCTCTGTACAACCTGGCTCAGCTGCTCTGTGCCACAAATGCATCATTTATGAAATAGGTGTGATCAGACTATTTACAGTGTAGGGTTTTTGTAAAGAATGAAGGCAATGAGACATGTAAAGCATTTTGTACTTTGCTTGGCTTATGGTAAACAATAAATATGAGCAATAATTAGTATCTATGGCTGGTATGAATGAATATCTCACATATCACCTTTCATTGATTCACTTTTCATATAATCTATAAAACAGGATGTGTCACACAGAGTCTGAAAAATGTATTAAAGAACTCTAAAATCTTGAAAGGTGACATAGTGTTGAGATAATTCAGTTCTTTTTCAATTCTGTTTCCCCACCCAACAATTTGTTTTCTGGCCAAGATCGTTTACTAAAAGATTCAAAACTGTTTAAACATTGGCCACTTGCCTTGGCTCCACTGTGGTCCCATCTGCAGGGTATTTTCCTTGATTTAGAATATTGCAAATTAAAAACACACACACACACACACACACACACACACACACACACACTTTGAGCTTATTAGAATCACACAAGGCGAGAAGAAAGAAAGAATTACACTTAAGGGTCATCTCACCTATGCTGTGCGTGGTGTGTGACCTAGCCATACACCACAGCAACAGCGTCAATGAAGAAGAGATTACTACATCCATTTCCACGGGATGAATCAGGCGCAGAGGGGTACATGACTGGACCAAACCATATGGATAGCAAAGGTAAGATTTGCACTCAGTTTTTAGGAACTTTAAAGTTACATTCCTGTTACTGTATATTTCTTGGTATGTAATTAAGGCTCAATGTTCCCTTGGTATTTCTCAGAAGTATTCATTGGTGACTATTTTCCTGGTACTTTTCTTTCAGTTGTCAAATAAAAGCCACTTAACTGAAATGATCAAATTCCCTAGTGTCATTGGGGAGGAGTGTTCTCTCTTACGACCAGATGGTTGCTTGCTCTGAAAAAGGCAGTTTACTACAAACAGTAATTGCAGTTGCTGTTGGCAACAGCACTCTTTCCTTTGACCACCAGCCAACACCACCCTTTCTAACCCTTTGGTTCTATCTTGCATGTCCCTTCCTTCTGTTTTTAATGGATTTGATTTCTTCTTATCACCTAGTTCATTTTATACAAAGTCTAAAAATAACTGTGTGTGCATGTATTTATGAGCGTGAAACAAACACTTTGGTGAACACTTTGTTAACTTCATATAAATAGATATATACCACACAACCCTCACAAAAGCATTTCTAAGTCTAGATTCAGGGAAAATAAAAAGTCTACCAAAGACTTGCTCATAAATGTTTGTAGCAGCTTCAGTTGGGACAGCCACAAACTGGGACTAATTTATCAACAGCTGAGTGGACATTGACTTGGCAGTAACAAGGAACAATAATGATACAATAGCACGGACAGACTCACAACACATTGAACACAGGAAACCACATACATATGTGATATATACTGTAGCTCCATTTATGGGAAATTCTAGAACATGTGAAATGAATTTATGGTGATATAAATTAGTGACTTCCTGGAGTGAGGAATACAAAGAAGTAGGAGAGATGACTGCAAAAGGACAAAGGGAAATTGGGGAGGGGGCAACAAAAATGTTTTACAGATTGACAGGGCAGAGATTAGACTATATATACGCTTGTCAAAACTCATCCAACTGAAGACAATTGACCATTCATGTCACTAGGTTCCTCATCAACCTATTCACCCACCTGTGGATTGAAAATACTGTGCTTAATATGTACTGACTTTTTTGTCATTCCCTAAACAATATAATGTAACACTTTTTTTTTTTTTTTTTTTTTTGGGCTGGCTCAGCCCACCATGAGGGCAGGGCTGGAGTAGCTTGTAGTGCCAAAAATCAAACTGCATTCCCCCTTGCCTGCCTAAGCTTGCCCAAGCAGGCACTTTAGACCACTAAGCTATCTTGCCAGCCCCCAACAATTTTTTTTAAAAACATTTGCACATTAGTATAAGTGATCTAGAAATGATTTAAAGTATATGAAAGTATTGGCATATATTTTATGCAAATACCATGTCATTTTATATAAGGCATCTGAGCATGTGCAGATTTCAGTATGCACAAACGGTCCCAGAGCTAATCTTAATGGATATGGAGGGATGGCTGTACTTCAAATGTCTCCATTTCTTTCACATAAATGATGTTGATGTGGGGGCGCACCCTGTAATCCCAGCACACAGTTGGCTGAGGCAGGAGGAGCACTGTGAGTACGAGGCTAGCATGGGCTGCAAAGTGAGTTCATGGCCAGCTTGAACTGCATAGTGAGACCCTGGCTCGAAAAGGCAAGAAGGAAGGAAAGAAAGAAAGAAAGAAAAGAGAGGAAGAAAGGAAGAAAAGAGAGAGAAAGGAAGAAAGGAGA